AAAATTGAAGAAAATAACATCAAGAATTACAGTCATAATTGTAAGAAATATCAAGCTCTTTAATAGATGTTATGCTTAAACAGCCAAAAAATAACTGAATATATTATAAAAATAAAAATTATACAACATTAATTATTCATCGACTAATCCTGAACATACTTGGACATCACCGCCAAAGAATACAAGAAGATCGTGTGTTGGCTGCAACTTTGGTGGTGTATAAAGTACATCGTTGCATCGGCCTGGAATGCCCGGTATATTTTTCCATTTCCAGATTTTCGACCCCATCGGTTATTATCTATAAAAAGAGATTAATTACACAGAAACGAATTATTAATATACGTTTTTTCAAAAATGAATTATTGTAATATCAATTTGAAAATTGAAACGGGCGAGTGAAAATGTTATTATAAATCGTACGAACTCTATGAATGTTATAATGTCGTACGAACAAATTGCAGGCAAACTGCAGATGACTGCAGAACTACAAGGTCTGACGTCTGTTTTGATTGAACTCTTGCACTTTCTGCGCTTAAAGTAGTAGAGGTCTGTTCTTTATAGCTGAACTGGCTGCACTAGTTCAGAGCTTATCTTTCTCTTTCCAATGGGGAGAGAAAAAGATAAACTCTGAACTAGTGCAACTGAAATAAACATATTTTTGCATTTTTTAATCATTTTTTTAATTACATTTTATATATTTTGACATTTCTCCTTACTATTTTTTTTTTTTGAGCGCGAGTACATTTGCTCCATTTTAAAGGGAAAGTGCAGAGAGTGCAGCTAAGTGACATTTCGCGGAGGCGGCGTGTTTCTCGAACACAATATTCAATATTTCGTCAGTAGATACTCGGCATATCATCCGATTTTGACGAGATATTTCGCAATGTGATGTCCGTGAAAATATCTCTGGATAGCTATATTTCACGATATGTCGCGGTAATTTTTAAAAATTAATCTAAAAACATCAAATTTTATATATATATACAAGATAACTAGATAATAGCGTTAACATAAAATAGCGTCAATACCCGATAACAGCGTTCGTGGTTATCGGGCTAAATAATCCATAGTAATCAGGCATGAGACCGGTGATGCATTTATCGCGATGCGCAATTACGACGATGCGCTTTCCAAAACAGAGTTTCGTCATGGGCAAGGTTAAACTACGATTACGTAAGATCGTCAAGGACGAATGCGGAGGCGTTCGCGAAAGAGCGTTTAGGAATAGATTCCTTCTCTTTCCGCTCGATGTCACATTTCGTGGAATGATAAAGAGCTTACCACAAAAAAGTTTTAGATTACGCAAAGTCATGCCCGCCTGCGGCTTAATCTTAATTCGCCGATTAACGTGATTTCAGTGATGAAACACGTTACGTCGCATCGCACAATGCAACAAGAATCGGAGTCCAACAGGACAACATGGAATCCGTTCGATATATTTCAATATGACACGTGTTGCAATTACGCGGTGATCGTGCTGAATTGTCCCATATATTGGAAGCACGAGATTATGCTCCCATTCTGGCAGAAAGGTATTTCAATTGAAAATACGCACTATATATATTTTGCGAAACAATTTCTCAATTTTTTCAATAATAATTCATAAATAATTTACGTAGCTAATTTATATGTGATTATTTTACGACTAGCTCAAATCACGGTCACCGTCGACGGCGGAACGCACAGATGGCTGAAGTATTTGGAGGAGCATGGGATAGACATATTAAGCGATGAGCACAGGCAGTACATACCTAATCTCATTACAGGAGATATGGATAGCTGTTCATCGAGTGTGATCGAAAAATTGGAAAATATAGGATCTCTCGTTATTAAAACACCTGATCAGAATCATACGGATTATACTAAAGCCTTGTTGCAAGTTGCGCAGAATGCCAAGATGAGAAATATAAATGTAATCCTTAAGATTTGTTTTTGCTCCTTTAAAATTAATATTATATATATGATAAAGCGAACAATATTGTTGGCAGTTAGGTGAAATATACGTGCTTGCAGAAACATCAGGCAGATTTGACCATATCATTGGCAATATTAATACATTGTACAAAAGTGACAAGCTTGTGGGAAATATACAGGTGATGGATATTCTATATATTCTATTAGGTTGAACGGAAAGTTCGTTCCGTTTTTTGCTAACAAATGAAGACCGAAAAAACGGCACGAACTTTCCGTTCAACATATGATTCAACATATTATTAATTTAATAATAATTATTAATTAATCATTATACTTCCCCTATACTTAGCAATTAACTTTTAATTAAAATTTTATTACATACACTATAAAGTACAATTAAAGTTTATTGCAAATTGCATATAATTAAACTTCTATTATAAAAGTCATCTTTAAATTATAAAAAAAATAATTTGATATTGCCCCAATCAAAAGCAGATTTTGTAATATATCTTGTGTATATACAGGGTGTTTTATTTTAATCGCCCCAGGCAAATATCTCGAAAAATATGAAAGATATGGAAAAACGTTTCAGACAAAAGTTGCATGGTTTCAAGGGGGCCACATGATAATAATATGGACTTGACCTTGAGTAACCTTTTCAAGGTGAGGTCAATGTGGTCGATGTTTTTTTAAATGGAACCCCCCATTTTTATTACATATTCTTGTAGCTTATCTCAAGAGCTTTTCAAAATGATATAATAAAGTATGTTTTTATTAAGTACTTTTTGAGTTATTTTATGTTTTAATCTGACATATTTTGATATAAAAAATAAAATATCTCGTA